CCCCCCAAATATTGGAGGACGCACGGTCCGTGAGTGTACATGTACACTATATCTCGTCAAGGTGATACAGTTTGACAATTCGAACTCTTATACATATGATACACATACAGCCTAGAGAGCCGTGATCTACGGCTTCTTATCCTTCGACTGCTCCTCCACATCCTTCAGAACAACCTCATCCACAAGATCCTCAGCGAGCATCTCATCAGGAACCTCAGCCTCCTCGCCCAACGCAAACTCCACCTCGGCCGCCTCCCTCGCAGCGGCCTCCATAGCCTGGACCTGCGCAGCCCTGCGGGCGAGGATCTCCCTGCTCGCGGCGCTCAGCGGGCCCGGGGTAGCGTAATCCAGCATGACCTTGACGAGGTCCTCGTTGTCGGCGGGCGAGCCGGGCAGGGGCGGGAGGCCGAGGCGGGCGCGGTCGTGGTCGAAGCGGGCGCGGACGGCGGCGGTCTGCATGACGAGCCAACGGAGGCGCCAGCCGCCGGGGCCGAGCTCGCGGAGGCGCGCGGGCTTGGACTTGAGGACGTAGGCGTCGATGCCGCCCCCCTCACGGCGGATGGTGCGGAGGACGCGCATGGAGAGCTTGGCGCGGACCCAGGCGCCCAGGGCGGCGGACCAGAGGCGCTTGCGGTGGATGTTGGGGCGCCAGGTGCGCGGGCTCTTGACTTTGTTGTCCGAGGAGATGTTGTTGCCGTGCCGGATGGTGGCGGTGCCGTAGAGGCCGTTGTTGGATTGCTTGTAGAGGAGACGGTCGCCGTAGGGGTAGGGGGGCACGGGGTCCTTGGGGATGCGCCGGAGGTTGATGGTCTTTGTTTGTGGGGCGGGTGTTGTTGAGAAGGGACGGCTGGTGAGGGATGGTGGTGGTGCTTGAGGGGTTTGTTGGTGATGTTGTGACGAGACGGAGAGTCTTGTCAGGGTTGATGTGAGGGTGCGGAGCGAGGCGGCGGTGCCCCTCTGGGGGGTGAGGTGCCGCATGTTGAGAGGTTGCAAGTGCGTCGTTATGATAGTTGCATCGGACGGAGGGATACTGAGTCCTTCAATTGACGAAGCTCGGGACTCAAGAGACGAATTGGCTGTTGTTTGTAACGCTGCAGCCCGTCGTGTCGAGCTCGGGTGAAATTGTATCGCGGTTCTGGTCCACATACCACAGTTTTTCGGTGTTGATCGGAGGATCGGAGGTCGGGAAAGGTGTAGTTCCGGTGTATCCACTCTAGACCGCCACGTGACATCGCGCGTCTTTCGCGATAAGATTCCGGCCTGATATGTCCCGAATTGGTCCTTGGATGCTTATAATAATCTTACGAGTGACTGAACACCCAAAGCTTGCCCTCGACCAATATCAAACAGTTTTTCTCAACAAATCCATCACTCAGTCGATCAACGCTCATCCCGGCCTTTCGCACTCTGGCAACATGCTCCCGCCAGTAGACGAATCCGTTCTACAGAATAACCCCGAATTCGCATCCCTCTACCATACCCTCACCACCGCGATCCTCAACCCAGACGGATCGACGAAAAATGACACTCTCCGCAAGGAACGTGAAGCTGTTCGTGAGGTAATTCATATTCACATACCATGAGACTGAGCTACTGGCATGAATGACTCTTGCTTCTCCCAGAACACAAACATACTGACAGGTTTGCTTTTCTTCTCAGGAGCTCAGAACCCACCGCCTAAACCACGCAAAACAACACCTTCTCTCCCACGCTATCGCAACAGCAACACCTCCAGAACCAAAAGTCCCCGGCAGTACCATAAGCCAACAGCGCCCCAAAACCCAACAACAACAGAAACAACAAGCAGAACTCCCCGAACCGCTCCTAGATCTCCTCTTCCTCCTCCCACCGCTCCTCGACCCGTCCTCCCGACCCCTAAGCAGCGAAGAAACATCCGCCCTCCTCTCCACCCCGCCCCTCTCCGACCTCCCCACCCTCCTCCCCCAACTCGCACCCATCATAGCCTCCTCCCTCCGCGACTCGGCCATCTCGCTCGCCCGCGTCGCCCACCCAGCCACCAACCCCAGCTTCCTCCACCGCACGATCCCCCACCTCGCCCGCGACGTCGCCGACCGGCTCCAAGCCCTCGACGCCGCCCGCGAAGCGCTCGTGAGGGAACGCCTCGCGCTGACCCGCGACGTGGTGGCGCTGCTGCGCAAGTACGCCGAGGCCCTGGCCCTGCTGATCCGCGCGCTGGAGGGGAAACACGGCGTCATGGCGCGCAGTGTCGAGTTGGGGGCCGCCGAGGTGGCCGCGGAAGCCAAAAAGGCGGAGCTGGAGGCAAGGATTGTGGAAGGGGCGGTTCGTGCTGATGTGTATACCCCCGAGGCGGTACGGGCGCTTCGGAACTACGAGGCGCATTTGAGGGATGCTACCCTGCGGGTGGAGGAGAGCATCAGGGGGTTGGAGAGGGAGTTGGAGCGGTATGGTGTTGGCGTGGAGGGGGCGGAGGGGAGGGAAGGGCGGATGAGGGAGATGGCGAGGGTGAAGAGGGAGATGGAGAGGGAGGTCGAGGAGGTGAGGAGGGATTTGGAGAGGTTGGAGAGGGCTTGACGTTTGGCAGTCTGAGGTTTGGGCGTACGATTGTTTTAGTTCTTGTGTTCACGTTCATTAGCCAAATATACCAACATATTGTTCAACCAACGTTCCATTATGTTTTCAAAACGAGACTCGCCGGCTACGAATTTGCATCCATGGTATCATGACCTACGACGACGCCTATTTTTAACAACATCTCTCACCTTTTTTGCCTCCCATTGAACTTCCCATCCCTCAGAAAAAGATACAAATTGAATACAGAAAAAAAGGTCCGCTTTAACCCTTGACCTTGTAGATGGCCTCGGCCAGACGACCGACATTGTCCGAAGTGATGCCGGAGACGGAGATACGGCCGTCGCGGGTGGCGTAGACGCTAAACTCCTTGGCCAGCTTGTCCATCTGCTCGGCGGAGAGGCCGGTGTAGGCGAACATGCCGATCTGGCTGGTGATGTGGGACCAGTCGTGGGCGGAGCCGAGCTTCTCGAGGTTCTGCTTGAGGAGGGCGCGCATGGTGATGATGCGGTCGGCCATGCCCTTGACCTCGGCGAGCCACTGGTCGTAGAGGGCCGGGGTGGTGAGGATCTCGGCGGCGATGCGGGCGCCGTGGACGGGGGGGTTGGAGTACATGGGGCGGACGAGGATCTTGATCTGCGAGTCGATGCGGGCGCGCTCCTCCGGGGACGAGGCGACGACGCTGAAGGCGCCGACGCGCTCGCCGTAGAGGCCCATGTTCTTGGCGAACGACTGGGCCAGGCAGAGGTCGTGGCCCTCGGCGACGAAGTGGCGGAGGGCGAAGGCGTCCTTGTGGATGTCGCCCGAGGCGAAGCCCTGGTAGGCCATGTCGAAGAAGGAGAAGTGGCCGGCCTGCTTGACGGCGGTGGAGATCTCGCGCCACTGCTCGGGCGTGGGGTCGATGCCGGTGGGGTTGTGGGCGCAGGCGTGGAAGAGGAAGACGGAGCCCTTGGGGGCCGCCTTGATGTCGGCGAGCATGCCCTCGAAGTCGAGCCCGATGGTGTCGCAGTTGTAGTAGCGGTACTTCTCGACCTGGAGGCCGGCGTCGCTGAAGACGGCGCCGTGGTTGGCCCACGACGGGGTCGGGATGTAGATCTTCTTGTCGCCTGGGAAGAAGCGCTGCAGGAAGGCCGCGCCGATCCGGAGAGCGCCCGTGCCGGAGATGGACTGCGTGATGGCGAGGCGGGAGAGGGCGGGCGAGTCGGCGCCGTAGGCGAGGACGGCGGCCGCCTTGGTGAACTCGGGGACACCAGTGATGCCGGCATACTCCTTGTTCAGCTTCTCCTCCACAATCTTCTGCTCGGCCACGCGGACGGACGGGAGGACGTAGGGCTTGCCCTTGTCATCGCGGTAGGCACCGACACCTGGAGGAAGGGGAACGGTCAGCTGTTGGGCCAGCTAGAGCGGAAGACGAGGGGAACACCGTGTCGTACCAAGGTTGATCTTCTGCTCGAACTTGTCGGCCTTGAAAGCTTCGGTGATGCCTGGATAACGAGGGGTCAGCTGGGCTACAGAATAGCGATGCGAACGAGCGCAAGCCACTTACCAAGAATAGCCTAGAGAAGGGAGGAGGGGATTCTTGTCAGTATTCTCCAACACGGGCATTGCACTCAATCGATGCGAAGTATGCTAGAGTTTGACTTACATCCTAAAGAGACAAACGTGTTAGCAGTTAATGTTACATTTTAATTTCCCCTTTCTTCCATCTGTCTTCACTCTGTCAAAAGGATCAAGGAGTAGCTCACAGGAGGCCCTTGGGGAACGTTGGCCCAGGTCGAGCCAGCACGCAGCGCATTGAGCGGCAGAGCGGCCGTGCGGCGAACAGCAGTCCGCCGAATAGCAGTGCTCAGCATGGCCTGCATTATGTCTCTTAATGAAATAGAGGTGAGGGTGGGAATGGGGAACGTTGACTATGAACAAAAGAGCGTAAAGTGGGAGGAAGATGAACGGGGGGAAAATATTAAGTCAAATGCGGTGACACTTTTTCTCGAGCATGTCTGTAACGTTGTCGTACCTACTGTTTCCGGGACCTGCTACTAATCAAGCGTATGTACCTACCCTATCGTACCTCGCAAATAGGCTAAATGGTGACAAGTCCACAGTGCAAGTTGGGGGTACCAGCGCGTCAGGTTTGTTAGAAAAGTGTGGAAATTAGTATGGCGATGAGTGGCTAGACTACAGTGTGTGTACACCGTTTGGATGACTAAAAGAGTGCGGGACACGTGGAATGGGTTGGATGTTGTCCAGGGTCGCGGCTTCAACGGCACGCCGCGCTGGGCCGAATTGTTGCTCCTGATTGGACCGCATCCAATTTCCCATGTGATGTGGGTGTTTCGCTGTTCCGTTGCGCGAACACTGCGATACTGACAGTTAGTGGACACGCATCGTTTGGTGGATTTTAGGGTGCGAAAATCGGAAGCTGCTGAGAACCACGATCAAAAATACCATAGGTATGAATTACGAAGTGCATAAGGTGATAAGACGGATAAACTGATGTTTCGTTTCCTCATACTCTTGCTTTGTACGGAGTATTTATTCCGTACTTCTCCGTGTCTTATCGCCGATGACGCGATACTTTGGTGATTCCTATGCCAGCGTTGTTCAAGCAACCGAACAAATTCGACCACAGATCGCGATGGAGTCGTCAAACAACGACCAACCACAGTTGCTTATCTGAGACGGTCAGGCCTTGATGGATGCTTGGCCTTCTCATCATTTGCGTGCTGCGATGTCTATCAGCTTGCTGCCCCCTGCCCACCATCACGACTGCGATTGAAGCACTAACAAATCTCCCTGTGCGAGGCTTACTTACATCTACGTGCAACTGGCTGCTATCTCGGGACGGACGCCACGACTTGCAGAGGTATCAGACAGAATACATCGGAATATTGGAACCAAACGGTTGACATAAGTTTCATGACTTTGATAATATGTACAGAAGGTCATGTCGTCAGTCTATATACTGTCCGTTGGAGCGAGGCCATCCAAATCCAACACGACTTGCTCGCTCACGAATATGTACTTTCGCATGAATCGCATCATCCCATCAAATTTCCGCGGCCATGAAAGGGACGAAAGGATATATCCCATTCCCATCAAGGGCGAGAGTTGTCGTCGTCCCGATCCAGTCCAGTCCAGTTCAGTCCCCTCCACTCCAGCCAGCACACGAATCAATTCGTTGCTTGTCCTATCCACCCACGTCGTCCCCTTTTTTTATTTTGTTTTCGCTTTTTTGTTGTTCCTCCCCTTCACTCGAGGACGGGGAGCTCGCCCTTGGCCTGGGCCTCCTGGACGGCGGCCTCGTAGGCGCGGACGGCCTCCTCGTAAAGGACGACGAGGGCGTCGTGCTCCTCCTGGGTCTGCTCGTCGACGGGGACGTGCAGGCGGCCGGCCGCGGCGACCCGGGTGGCGTCGCCGCCACCGAAGGCGCGGACGGCGGCGTAGTAGACTTCGGCGAGGCCCCTGCAGATGCTGCCGTGGCCGTTGACGTTGCACTGGTAGTAGAGGCTGCGAGGAGGGGGGCGTGTTAGTTCGGTTCGGACAGTTTCAAGTGGGATGGATATATTCAGTGCAGGATCCTTTTTCCCTTTTCCTTTTCCTTTTCCTTTTAGGGGGAAGGGGGAAGACAAAGAGGGGGGAAATCGTTCCGGAGGGACGGAACAGAAAGGAAGAGGGAAACGTACTCATCCCTGAATTTGTTGTCAATGCGGAGCTTGTTGTTCGAGGTGAAGCGCGACTGGGCACGGAAGTTGTGGTAGCCAAAGTCGTGGCGGTGGCAGGCGGGGAGGAAGGGGAAGCCGAATGGGTTGTCGGGCGACGTGGTGCAGCCGTCGGTGGTCCAGATCAGGTACGAAGGGTTCCTGTTGCGGTGGTGCGTGGAGAAGCTGGGCAGGGTGATGCTGAACATGTAGTTGTCGACGATGGTGACAGCGGTCTGGCGCTTCTCCACGGGGCTGGCCAGCGTGGCCGGGAGGAGGGCGAGGGCAATGGCGGAAGCGGTGAACTTCATGGTGGCTGATGTTTGGTACTGAGGAGTTTGGAAAGTGAGGAGGAGAGTGAGGGACAGGAGATGATGTCTGGATGAGAGCGGACTGGGATACTGGACTACTGGGCTGAAGGAGAGAGAAGATGGATGATGATGATGATGGGGAAGATCACGGGTCTTTATATACTCAATCGTAGCTCTCTCTCACTACGGCGTGGACCCCATGTGGTTGGTTTCCGATCGTCCCTTTTTGCGCCCAAGTCAGATTTGCCGGACTGTGGAGGTCAAGTTCACCGAGAAGGGGCCGAGACGAGAGGGGATGGGACAGCGAGAGAGTCTGCGAGCCAACTTCGCGAGACTAACACGCTGGCTGGATCGTCAACCTCCTCTGATCGATGATCGTCCCGTGTTGCTTCTTTTTTTGGCCCGACTGGCTACGTCAACAAAACCGTCCCACCTGCCCAAGTGAGCAAGCCCCGGGGGCTCCATATTGCGGTTCCTGCAGGGTCAACCTCTCGATGTCCCCGCCGGCACTGGGGAGCTATGCTGGAAGAAGCAGTTTCATAGAATTCAATTAGAAGGTAACCGGGGACCTTTGGGTGGTATCTCCCCTACCTCACGACCACGTTAGTGTGATCCGGCGCCGGCATTGGACGGTTGGTGGCTTCTTATGGCCTGCGCAAGGGAATGGGGGGGCGGCAAGACAACATGCCTACCCCGATCTTGGGACGCAGAAGCCGCGCCAAGGCGGCGGAGAGGCAAACGGAGGGGGATTCCTGCGGCTCGGTGGTGGGTGTTTTGGATTCTGCGGTTGGGTCGGGGTTCTTACTGGTAACTTATTATTATTGATGCGACCTCTCTGACAGAAAACATTGCGGAGTAAGACACAGCATCCCTTCTTGAGGTTGGCTGTAAAAAGGTGAGACCGACTCGTACGAGGTACAGTGTAATTATGCCACTGGTAGTGAGTAGTGAGGGTGAGCAACAACAAAGCAAGGGAATCTGGTTCATGAGGGTCAGCCATCAGCGGAACTTTCAAGCTTTGGTCCTTGCACACCAACTTTCGCACGAATAGGAGCGTGCCGCCCGCAAACGGGGCCGTCGATCGAGCTTGTGTGGAGGTGACGGCAGTGGATGGTGATGTGTGATCCTCCTGACTGGCCCTGTCCGGTCCTCCCCCGCTCGTCTCCATTCCCACCATGATCTGGTGGCTTGTTTTGGCTGCCGGTGGTCGAACGGATAATGCGGAGTTTGAAGTACGTTGTACTTCGCACATTGGAACAACGGAGAGGATGGTGATGGTGGCCATCAAAAACTCGCATACAAGTTTCGGAGGAGATGCCCTAAAAGGAAGCTCTTCTGCTATCTTTTATTGGTCAGCTTCCGTTGCGAGTTCACCAGGAGAGAGGCCAATCCAGCTGTGACGGTGTGATATGACATTCTGATTCTCCATCGTCGGCTTGTAGTTTTAATTCCGGTTGGTAGGGGGTTGAGAACGAAGTTATTCCGTGTGGCGTACTGTAAAATCAATTACAGTACTCGGTGCGTGTCTACCGCTGTAGGAAGTCACTCTAGTGATATACTTGAACACCTGTAGAGCCAGAGGTTGGTTCTGAGGGGCCCACGTGCCCTGGTTTTGGGCAGGTACTCGTCCCGGTACCTCAGCACGTGCGCTGAAGCCTCAATATTATTTCTCACGTCTTTATCCACGGTTGCACCTTCCAGAAGGACCCTCATTCATCCTTCCACTGCTCATTGCCAACCTAAGGACGGCTCGTGGAACTTATTCACGGAAGCGTGTTTACTGGGAACCCTTTCGAGATCCGCCACTCGATTGAACCCAGCCGACTGAGAGCGAATTTGCCACTTCGTTTCTACGGGCTTACCGATTTCACCGAGTTCTAAGGGTTCTGTCAGGGGTAAAAGGAAGGAACCTGATGGAGAGCAGACTTTCGCTTGCTTGATAGCATTACGAGCGTCCCCGCTCAAGCACGAATGACGACGAAATCTTAAAAGGTCAGATGGGAAATCATGGGAAACCTACAAGGTGCTGCACAACTTTCATGAGCATGTCGAATCAGGCAAAGACCAAAAGATGGGGGCAATCCTAAGGTTCTACGAAGTACGTATGGCCCACAGGTAAGTCGACCTCTCTGAGAAGTCCCGAGATTGTTTATCGGATCCGAACCCGAACATGGGTCACCACGGCCCAGACTCTGACAACGTGCCGCAGCAATAACTAAGCTCCTTGATTTCGGCTTCAACATCTGTGATGCCAGGCCACTGGAAGTAGGAACCCGCCTTTCTTTCCCTCTCCCCCCCTCTTTTTTTATTAAAAAAAAGAAGAAGAAGAAGGACGAGGACGAGAAGAAGAAGAAGAACAAGAAGAACTAACATAACGGTTAGTTATTCCCTGATTAAATCGACAAATACCCACAAGTCCGGCCTGGCTAAACGGTGATTACCATAACAACAGGAAGAGTGTTGTCTAAAGGCATAGGCCTATTACAACGATAGACTCCCACGCGGAGGATATCAATAGCGATCCATGGGAAGGAAGCCAATAGCTTCATGATAAATTCGGGAAGGGGCTGACCTTCCAGAGCTTAATCTTATGATCTTCAACTGGAGCCAAGTATTTGTGGTATGGCCACTGTTCTTGGCGTCGGTTCTCTGCCTATTGCCCGTACCGGTATCGAATAGACTAAGAATCTACGCGGAGAACATTGGCCATACCACAAATACCTGGTTCTAGTCGAAGATCATAAGATTATTGAGCTCTGGAACGAAGGTTAGCCCCTTCCGGACTTTGGCGGAAGCAAGTCCAACAAGACCGGTCCGCTGGGCCTTCCAATGGCCAAGTACGGCAGTCAGGAGACAGTAAGTGCCAGTCATGACCTGCATCACGGACGCTTCCTTGATCATTAATTAACTAACTAATTCATTACATGAAGTGAAAGACGACAACGCTCATTTCACCTTGAGGACCGCCTTGCCAAAGTTCTTGCCTTCCAACAGCCCGACGAGTCCCTCAGCGGCGTTGTCAATACCCTCGGTGACATGCAGCTTCGCCTTGACCGAGCCATTGGAAATCCACTGCTGCAGCTTTTCCTGGTGCTCCTTGGTGTAGGCGGGGCCGAACTCCGGCTGGAAGACGAGGAAGCCCTCCAAAGTGATGTTGCTCCTGATGGTCGCCAGGAGACCCCTGACTCCCCTCTGCTCCTCCCTTGGCTTATTGTAGTCGGAGATCTAGGAGGCAAAGTGTTAGCAAATCACAAAAGTCATTGTCAAATGCTTTCTTGTCTGTTCTTCTTGACGAGCAATGAAAAAAGAAAAAGAAAAAAAAAAGAAGAAAAAAAAGAAGAAAAAAAAGAAAACAAAAGAGGAACTTACCATTCCGCAAATAGGGATTCGACCATGCATATTCATATTCTCCAGCGCCGCTTCGAGGTGCTCACCGCCGACATTTTCAAAATAGATATCAATCCCATTCGGAGCCAACCTCTTGAGCGCATCAAACGGACTCTCCTTCTTATAATTGAAGCCCGCATCGAAACCCAGCTCCTTGGTAATAAAGTCGAGCTTGGCATCCGACCCGACCGAGCCGATGACGGTCAAACCCTCGCGCTTGGCGACCTGGCCGACGACCTGACCCACAGCACCGGCGGCGGAGCTAACGAAAATGGTCTCGCCCTTCTTGGGCTTGCCGATCTTGTACAGCGCCGACCAGGCCGTGAGGCCCGGCATGCCCAGGGGCCCGAGGAAGAGGGCGAGGTCGAGCCCGTGCGGGTTGTGGATCTTCTGTACCTGGGCGGCCTGGGGGTCCTCGACGCGGGCGTACTGCGCGATGGGCGCCATGGCGACCACGGTGTCGCCCTCGACATAGTCGGGGTTGTCGCTCTTGCGCACGGTGGCCGCGACGCCGTTCACGATGGGGTCGCCGATTTCGAAGGCGGGCGCGTAGGACTTGATGGACGGGTCGCGCATCTTGCCGCGCAGGTACGGGTCGAAGGAAGCGTAGAGGACCTCGAGCACGAGGCCGCCCTTGGGAGGGGTGTCGATGTCGGTGGGGTGGTCTTCGACGGCTAGGTGCTCGCCTGGCACGGGCGCCCCGGTGGGGATCTTCTTGAAGACGAGTGTCTTGTTTGGCGCCATGGTCGAAGGACTCGGGGCTGTTCTTTTTTTTTTTTTTTTTTTTTTTGGTTGGTATGTCTCGGTGTGAGTGGGGTGAGAAGTGTTCTGTGCCAAGTCGTGAAGGATTCGGTGCAGTGAACGGCGGGGGGCGGGGTAGGTAAGGGGAGGAGATATAAAGCCAAAAGGTCGGGTGCACGATGTGGTTAGTTTTATATTGCTATACTCCCGTTTATTAATCTTCGTGCGCAGTATTGGATTAATAAAGAAAGACATGGAACCACAGGCAAAGTTCCCCCATTCCATCATTATTCTGCAACACTGTGTTGCGTGACTGGGCTCGTCTCTGCTGTAGGGTCTCCGCTTCCCGATCTCTCCGCCAATGCCTCTTCGTCATTATCATGACCTCATGGACTCGATGGACTCGGCACTTCCCCTAAAACTTATAAACCGGCATGTGGCACTTTCCACTCTAGTGGGAGGGGCAGGACCGAAAAGGATGGACGTCCGCTCCGTACTATCGCAATGTTTGGAGAGGACAAGTCTATAACAGAAGAGAAAAGAATCAAAAATGTGAGACTAGGCACGATGTTGGAACTTGGATGTTGGCCCACATGCCAAGGTGGAAGAACCTTCATAACTGGGGAAGTTTTATTTGTAAGTGCATCGTACAAAGTACATTATCGCGTTAAATCCGGTAGAATAGGTAATGGATTGGTAATCAAGTCATTACCAAGCGAGCGGGTTTTATTCTTTTCTTACCCAATTTTCCTCCTAAAATTCTCCCAAGTCCATTCATTGCTCATCCCAAAAGTTCTCAACCAAAAGTCGGACCGTTCATTCGGCCGAAATGGACTTCTCCGTCGCGCCAGCCTGGTCGTCGTCCGCGCCTTGACGAGCACCTTCACGCTGGTTTCCCTCCTGGCCGCTGCTGTCTGCCCCTGGCGTGGCTGTAGCAGCTGTGCCTTCCGCCTCGGCCTCTCGTTTCTTGAAGATGTTCACGCTAGGCATAGAGGCATTCCCTAATGCCGAGACAGAAGTCGGCATTTTAGGCATGGATGGCATCGACACCTTGGAGGGCATGGAAGGCATGGAAGGCATGGACATGATGGGCACATGCACCTTGTTCGGCCACCAATCCTTGGCCCCCTGACCAGCTTGCTGCGCGACGCCGAACAGGTACTGCATGTACGTCCTCTTTCTCTCGTTGGCCGTCGTTGGCTCGCCCGACTCGGGCCCGGCGGCGCTCGTATCGGTCGTGAGTTCCCCATGTCCATCCTCGGGGAGGGGCACCAGCGATGCAGCGGCCGCAATGTCCACCGGAGATTCGTCCGGGAGGTCGTCCTCGCCGGTCTCGGCAGCTTTGACTTCCGTCGCCCCTTGGGCTCCCGTGCCAGCTTCCGGGCCTCGCTCGTCCACGGTGTTCGACAAGGTCTTCTCCACCGCGGCATCCTCCTCGGTTTCTTCGGGCGAGACTTGGCGGAAATTGGGGTCGTCCACGATTTCCTCCTCGGCCGAAAACCACTTTACGACCAGCTCGGCCGCCTCGTCCTTCATCTTCTCGTAGCCCGTGTTCTTGTCCGGGCGGAACATGCTCAGGTGGGCCTGCAGCTCGTCGGCCGACCCGCGCATGGCGCAGCGCGTGAAGAGCGCGCTCGCGGGCTGCCCGGCGTCGGGCACGGCGCAGAAGGTCCGCTCAGGAACAAAATAGCCGCCGCTCCAGTACCCGTTCTCGCCGAGCGAGATGTAGAAGTCCCGGATGCCGACGCCGCCGCGGAGCGCCGCCATGCGGTCCAGGCGCCGGCCCAGCTCCTTCTGCTTCATCAGGGTGCCGACGAAGGTGAAGTGGTCCGACAGCCAGGCGAAGGACCGCCCCACGTTCCCGCGGTTGATGTACGCCAGCCCCTGGCCCAGCGTCTCCATCCCCTGGCGGTACCCTTCGACCACGGACTCGCGGTTGAGGTTGCGGACGCTCTTCACGCCCCGTATGATGGCCTCGCGGTTCATGTATGCCACGACGCCGCCCGCTGCGATGGCGCCGATCGTGCCCGTCTGCACGGCGACGAGCTGCCACAGCTTCCAGTTCCGGCGGGACGACGAGGAGGCCGATGCTGGGCCTGACGCTGGCCCTGGCGAAGAGGAGGACGACGCCAGGCTCGCTGCCGCGGTCGCGGCGCTTGCTGCGCGCTGGGCGGCGAGGCTGCTCAGGCCGGCGGGCGCGGCGGCCCCGAGGGCGGTCATGACGTTGAAGACGCTGCTGACTTTTTGGTAGTTGGAGAAGGCGCCGTAGACGAACATGGACCTGGCGAGGCCGTTGTAGGCCGTGTCGAAGGCCAGGATGCCTTGGATTAACGGGAACAGTGGTTTGTCCTCGCTCTCGTTCTCAGCTCGTTGGTCGAGGGCGAGGAAGAGGGCATCCGCTGCGACGAAACCACTGAAAAACCATCGTTAGTTCCTCCCATATTATTATTCCGCCATACTACCCCCTGTGATTCGGAAGAGGGCCCTGAACGACCTAGACAACTTACCCCATGGAATGTGCGACGAGGATTACGCCAACTTGTCTGTCGTTGGGAGGCCAGGGGTTCTCCAGATTGGCCTTTCGAATATCCATAACCTTCTCTTTCAGCCTTCAAAAAAAGCACGAGTATGTATGCGTAAGCGTAACGACACAACATTGAATGAGATTGGAATACAGATTGATGCTCACCATTCTAAAAACTTGGCGGTGGCTTCTGCCAACTCTCCCTTTGTCTCGTATTTGGGATAGACGACCGACTCGACGCGATGGTCCAGAAGTTGACGTGCGACGTCCCTCTTGAGTTCCTACATCTCGTCATATGTTGGTATCAGAGGACCAAATTCCCCCTCGGGAGAGGGGAGCCAAAAAAAAAGAAGAAAAAAGGAAAACAAATGACGGGACTCACGTAGGGAAAATCCTTGAATGTGTCATCGGTTCCCTTGGAAAGCGTCAATTAAGGTGCCTACATATAGTGTATATTTTGGGATATTTTGGGTGCCTTCTGACCTTGAATCCGTGTATAAAGCAGAGGAGGAGAGTTCGTGACATGTTGATCAGCTTTGGCGGAGGAAGCTTGATAGTAGTGGACGGATATTAAGTATTAACGGCAGAGAGTGGGTATTAGGCGACAGCGCCGGAAGACACCAGCGCCTACTTTAGATATTGTTTCCTAAATTATTTGATGCCGATGTTTTATTATGGAAAGGTGAAGTTCAGAATCCAAAGCTTGATCGATATGTACGGGAGTAGTGACGGCGATACGAAGTACATTGGCATGTACAGGCGGGTGGCATGTGGTACCAGCCACACTTGACGTGCAAAGGTGTGGCAAATGGTCGTCGATTTGAGCCTGTTGCTCGACGTCACGTATAACGTCATTCGCTTCTTCACACCAATATAGGTACACTTAGCACAGCTTATGCTTTGGAATCAGGATGACCTGAGTAGTTTAGCATACCTACCTTTTTTTTTCTTCTTTTTTTTGGTCAGTGACGAAGCCATGATACTGACAATGGTGTCGGACCCTAGAGTACTTACGAAGTAAAGCCTCGTTCTTTGGCTACCTACCTACCCGGGTTTAGGGGGTATAGGACAGAGCCCGATAACTGGTCAGTCTGTCAACAGTCTTAGAACATCATGTCGACAGAAATTTCTCTGTCCTGGCTCTGGTCAGAGCAAAAGTCTCTGTCCGAGCTCTGACCTATAAACCCCCCCTCCCGGGTAGGTAGGTTGGCCCATGCACGGGCCGGGTTGGAAACGTCGAGCTGTCTATTAATAAATAGCAAGTCCTCTGGTAATTATAGTCCCGTAAACTCGGGGAAATAGGTAATAAATTTGCTCTGTCCCGACTCCTCGCTCTTTAACGGCATTAGCCGGTGATAGGGTGACAGAAGAGTGCATTCAATTCAAATTACGAGTGCCACCAATCAATCGTGTCATAATGGTTTTCTTTCCAGACCACAGATTGAAACTTTGTGCTATATTCATTATTTAATTAGCTGACAGCTTGTCTCCCTTTCCGAAGAGCCACTGATGTCAAAACACTTAGAAATCCGGCCGAGTGGTACTCCGTACTGGAACCAATATCGACAGACACCGACCGTTATAGCCGAACAAGTTAAGGTACCTTAGGCTATGTCGATAGTGCTCGGGATTGAACCAATTATATGGAAGCTTGATTGGATCTCGCAGCCAATGACAAGAAGGGCTAAGCCTGAATAGGACTGCTGCCTTACGGACGACCCACTACCCTCCGCCCCTTAAACGCCAAATTTGAGGGCTATGGTCTGTGCATCGTGCCTGACTGGGGCAGTTTTTGTTGTCCCGATGATCTCTTCCCCTTTCTTATTCCTCTTTTCTTGTCTCACTCAACCTCATCGTCGTTCAGTACCAACCACCGCCGACATACTTTCGAGGCCTTCACGGCCACGAATCGGCCGTCTTTGTTGTTGTTCTCTTGTCTGGTGGTCTAATTATGCAACCATTGTTGTAGCCGCTCTTTTTCTCGTCACCACCAGTCAACACCACAGTCACTCGCTTAATCGTCACTCCCGCACCATCGCCAAGAAATCCTCTCCTTCGCAATGGCGTCCATTCGTTTCTCCTCCTCCTCCTCCTCCTCCTCCTCCTCCACCTCCCTCCTCGCCCTTTCTTTCGTTTGGGTTCTATACGCAACATGTGCCTCTGCTTTCCTCGAGATACCCTTCACCGGACGAACCGATGTTAGTCATGCCCCGCCCGACAGACGCCGCCAGGTTCAGACAGACACCCGACTTGAGGGGAACGCCAACGGGTACTATGTCGGCTTCGAATTCCTGGTCAATGTCTCCGTCGGCACACCACCACAAGAAGTCTCGCTGCTCGTCTCTTTAGAGACCAGCGAAATCTGGGTCATCGACATCGAGACCTGCGGCGATGGCCCTTACTCTGCCGACATCGACTGCTTCTTTGGCTCGTTCGATCCCAACCAGTCTGACTCGTTTGAACGTATTTCGCGCAGTTCCTTTGACGCGAGCTTGCCTAGCGGATCGTGGGTCGAGGGGGACCTCATTTCGGAAACCGTCCACATCGGCCCTGCCAAGTTGGAAGACACGACCCTGGGTCTCGTTCATGACAGCTCCGGGTATGAAGCGATTGGCGTGCTGGGGCTCGGCTACGGCACCTTCACTGGCTCGTCCTCCTTGGATACACTGGAGGCCGCGGGCCACATCAACTCGACCGCCTTCAGCATGTGGCCGTCGTCCGCCAACGCTTCCGATGGCTCCCTGCTCCTGGGCGCCATCGACACCACCAAGTTCAGCGGCGATCTCCAGCGCTTCCAGGCCTACAAGTATTCCATGCAGTACACCGGCTTCTACGGGAAGATCGGCTCCGTCAACGGCTCCGACTCGGCCGACGGTCGCCTCGAGCCCATTGTCGACGAGTCCCTGAATCCCGATCTGCCCTTTGTCGGAATCAACCCTACCTACCTCCTCTCCAACTTGCCCCTGGCCGTCGCTCAGCCCATCTGGGACCTCGCCGGCGTCGTTCTCGACTCGTACTCTTATGCGGGCAGGGCAGTCATTCCTTGCGATCGCGCCTCCTCGCTCACCGGTCGTGTTGCCCTGGAACTCGGCGGCACGGGGGGCTACATCCTCACTGCCAACCTGCGCGATCTCGTCCTTCCCGCCGACATATATTCGTATGAGTACTACGCCTCCTACGATGACGACTACCCCGAGCTCGATGGCGAAGAGATGTGCATCTTCGGCGTCCAAAACATCGACTCGGGCTCTTACAGCGAGGAATCAGGCCATTGGGTCCTCGGGAGCTACTTGCTGCGCAATACCTACCTCGTCTTTGATCTCGCCAACGAGGAGGTTGGCATGGCTCCCGTCGTCAGGCCTTCCGATGCCACCCGCGCCAACATCGTCCCCTTCCCCAGCTCTGCAGCCACCATTCCTAAGTCCACCAAGGTGGGGCAGTCTTGGTGCTGGGCGTACCAGGATTGCGAAGGCGACGGCGTAGGCGACTCGGACGGGACCGGATATTCTGACGATCGGGATCGTGAAGATTGGTATAACGAACGTGATCGGAGATACAGAGCAATGCTTACGGGGGTCGGGGTCGGCATCGCCGCCGGAATTGGCTCCATTCTTTTCGTCGGACTCCTCCTGGGCATCTGGGCCTTCCGGCGCTACCGCAAGGTCAAGAAGGAGGAGTTGGAAACCGGCATCATCAGGCACCCTTCCGGCGTGATCCTCATCGGACGTGGCGGAAAGCCGCTGGTCCTGAAGGGGGCGAAGGAGCTCGACGAGCCCGAGTCGCCACCCCTGCCTCCCAGACCGGCCGTCCTGGCGAACTCCAACAGGGGTTCACGGAACGATTCGCGTCTTACCACAACGGTGCTCCCACCCATCTCGGAAGACCCGACCGGTATTGCGACGAATGCGACGGCCGCAGAACAGGCTAGGACAGCCGGTGCGCAAGCTCAGATGACTGGTGCACTCCATCCTACAGCAAACGACCAGTCCCGGCTTCCGGACACGAACACGAACACGAACACGGACACGAACATGGCCGCGCCCACCACCGACACTGATCACCTCCCTGTCAGTCCTATCAGCCCTGTGCAACCCATCGGCGACGTTCCCCCGCACGCTATCATATCGGATCCTCCGGCGGCTGCGGAGTCCTCCACGCAGGTTTCTCCGGGTGCTGCGGCGGATGTCCAGTCTTTGACGCCGCAACAGGGAGAGTCGGAGAATCGGAATGAAGAAGCTGGGCCGCCCAGGATACCAAAGCCATCTACACAGGAATAGTTCTTTTACTTAATACCTTACTCTAATAATACCCCTGATACTCCCTTGCGATTTCTGACTCTCGGGCTCTTTACCGCCCTTCCAGACTCTCTGATACGCAGCCATGTCCGTCTTCCATGCTCGATATTTTGTCTGGCTTGTAACCGTCTCTTCGTTTCCTTGTTTCTGTGAAGCCGGGCACATTTTCGATCGAGTCGCACTTTTACAATCTCACCTTGCGATAGAGAGGAACAATGATTTATGTGCGACGAGTTGAGTTTCTGTTGGCCGGCCATCGATGTTTCTACAGCCTTTTCTGCACTGACCCAATTGAACAGCAGAAACAAACACTCGGCCTGGTGTAAGCAGGACAGGTTTCAACTTCCTAACGGACTCTGACATTTCATATCTCACCACCAAAAGTTGATCCCTCGTCTCTCATTCATGCATCAGACGGCTGGACCGGAAGATCTGGATCGTGGACGCTTCCTCATCGTCCTCCTTGCCCTCTTTTTCGCACCTGTTGAACCACGTCTCGGCCTCATTGGTCCACGTCCCGAGGAGATTGTGCTGGTCGGCTACTCGGCCATTGCCCAGCAGATCAGGATAATACACGCACGGTCCCCGCCACCCGACCCTGATGCAGACGTCCGGCATGGCTCCACTCGAATCGCGAGCCGTCGACGTCGTCGCGACGGCCGAGGTTATGTAACACGGTCCCGTCGCCGGTGAACTTGTCAGTCCAGATCATGTCGGCGCGCCCATCGCCGTCCGCCATCCCAGTCCGTGGGGTGCAGGTCTCGGCGGTCGAGCTGGCGGCCGAAAGTAGCCGGGCGGGATTTTGAGGTCGCCGAGGGGCGCACCGTGGACCAACACAGAGGCCGAAACGAAACAAGGCCCCAGTAGGCTAAGAAGAGGCGGTTCATGCGAGCTAAGATGTTGGTTCTGTCACTGCCAGTCATGATGGCTGGTCGTTCATTCACTGAAAGCGTAAGGTACTGGGCCGCTGGGGGAGGACATGGTGATTTTTCCAAGGTAGGTAAACGGATATCGTCACCAGTACAGCGTACGGACACCGACACAAGGTATGTCACGTTTAACTGTCCAAGGTTTCTGAAGCCTTTGACAAGGATCGTCGCGAGAGGGAAATTAACTGGAGTCGGGGATGGGACCCGACCCTGTTGTTTCTATTTGTGATACCTTTTGGCCTGTACCAAGAGTTGGGGCCTTGCATCCCGTTGCCGATGCAGCCCTTCTTTTCGTCTTTTCTCATGAATTGATAGAATGATTTGACGTATTCCCCTGGATGACATGGCGATCAATTTTTTTTTCTTTTTTTCTATTGCTCTTTTTTTGGATGTGTTTTGGGACCGTAGGATCAATAGGTGACGTGCCAGGGCTTCGGAGGCGGAACAAGAACCGCCCGTTGACCGTTGACTAAGGTAACCAGGTATCAAAACGTAAACCGTACCTTTGGTGTAGAGGCCTGGGGGCCAGGGGGGGAAACATGACCACGAATGACTTGGTTCCGAGGAGAAAAGAAGATGAAAGGGAAGATCGAAGATTCGAAGATTCCCGCTTGCAAGCTGACCTTATGTACCTCTTTTCCGACCGAATTCAACTAGTCAAATGGTAGCATGCCAGAGTGGTTAATGGGTGGGACTTGAATTTTCATCACCATCCCATGGCTTCGGCCGCGCAGGTTCGAACCCTGCTGCTATCGACGACTCTTTTTTTTCTTTCTTTTTTTTCCTCTCTTTGTTTCTGTCCTTTTACTTTTTGCCTTTTTCCATTTCGTTTTTCTACGCACCTTCTTCACCGCTAGGTTAAGAGAAGAGATAACTTACAGATAAGGTCAACATCCTCAAGTACCCCCCCCCCCACACACTTACCTTACCCGCAAAGTTCACTCTTTCCACCAACACATTGTTAAGGGACCGCAACTCATTACGTTGAAAATTCACTAAATGAAGCCTCTAGACCTCTACATCTTCGATCATTTCTCATATATACTCAATCGTCACCTAACAGCCTCCTCGGCTTCCTCCTGCACCTCGTCCTCCGATAACCTCGGGTTCCTCAACGCCAGGGAAAACCCAATCATAGGCACACAGAGACAGCAAGCCGTGATGCAAAGAAGCCGCTGGACATAACTATAACTATCAATAATGGCGTCTCTAATCTCGCCGCCCACAGGATACTCCGGAACCACCGTAAACGGCGAGTCGTAAACGGCCTGGGCCAACGTCCCATTCGGTTGGAAGGCCAAGTTCGACGCCAGGGCCGGGTACAAAGTCTGCGTCCAGATGGCGCCGGACACACAGTTCCCAAAGGCACTGCCCACATTGAAAAACGAGAGGTAAAGGCCCGTAATCATAGCAACGTGCTCCCGCGTCGCCGAGGCCTGAATAGACGCCTGGGTCGGGTAAGCGAACAACCCGCCCGCCAAACCCAGGAGGACCTGCCCTGCCACGAGCCCCGATTGCGCCCCGACCGAGGCCCCGCCGGGGAAGTTGATCAGGATGCCGAGCGCCGCCATGAAGACGCACGTGCCGGCGACGATGATGGATTTCAGCCTCCGCACCCTGTAGATGACGAACCCGACCAAGATGCCGCTGACGACGCCGAAGAAGGAAAAGAAGGACGTGATGCGCGTGGCCGACTCGATGGAGAAATCGAACCCCACCACGAGGACCGTGTACAGGTAGTTCCCCTGGATGGTCCAGGCGAAGTTGAGGAGGCTCCGCACCGCCAGCGCGGACCAGACGCCGCGGTCCTTCATCAGGTGGAACGGGATCAGCGGCGTCTCGGCCCCTTTCCTCTTTTCCCAGAGGACGAAGAGCGGGAAGCAGCCGAGCCCGACGACGAGCGGGACGAGGACGCTCGGGGATTGCCAGTGGCTCGCTTTGCCGCCTGCGACGGTTAGCGGGGCCAGGGTGAAGGAGAAGGCGGCGACTAGAGTCACGAGGCCGACGGCGTCGATGCGACGGAGGAGGTCCCAGCTCCATCGGGACCGGGCGGGCGGGGGAGGCAGACAGGAGTTTTCCTCCGCAGCAACGTGTTTCCCGGCGCGACGCTCTATAGAGTACAGGATCGCAAGGAGGGGGAGTGAGGCGACGGGATAAATGATGCACCACATGCCGATGCCCCAGCGCCACGTCGTCACGCGGAGGACGGCCGAGGTGACGTTCCCGCTAATCCAGGTGTTAATAATAAACGGCACGGCGGGGACGTAGCTGAAAAGGACACGGGACCGCATGGACGACACATCGGCGACCAGGACCTCCAGCAGCAGTATGATGGCGGTGTAGCCGATCTGGTACAGGACGGCGCCGAGGCAGAAGGCCTCGACCGAGTTCGCGCAGGCCTCGATGGCGGTCCCGACCGTGTACAGCACGGTGAAGAAGGCCACGGCGTGGAACCGGCCAAAGGCGTCGGAGAGCGTGGCGGCCGTGGGTTGCGAGGCGACGGCGACCACGCTCCGCAGGACGTTGATGGTGGAGTGGTACGAGTGGAGAGAGAGGCTGGAGGTCGCGTACGGTTGGTATGTGGAGCGGACCTGGCTGTCGAGACCGTAGCTGTAGCCTACGAGGAAGATGGCCAGGTAGAGCCAGATGCGTTCGGTGTGGGTTAGCTGTGCTGAGATGGCGGCAGTGCGACGGGTGCCTGCGTGGGCTGGAGTCACTGCACTGGACTCGGCGACGTAGCTATATCTGTACGTGCTCGGTACATCGGTGCTGGGTCGCTGGGTGGTGGAAGCTGGTGTCGTGGTGATTAGGAGAGGGGTTTCCTCCCCCATGTCTCGCGTGATGTGAGTAGTGGTGCCCATGACGGCGCCCCGCTCTCCCCTCATAACTTGTTGTTCGAGCGCAGTCGGCTATAATATAGGCGGTGCAAAGTCGACGACCCCTTCATCTGCCATGAGCGACAACGGGGAGTATCGGTATCAACTGGCCAGCGGCGTGTCTGATGGCGAGAAGAAAGGGGAAGGGAAAGCGTGCACGTTCGAACTGCGGCGTTTTGATGGGGTGGAAGCAATTTAATGCGCGATTTGTCTGAGCGTTTGCGGAAAAGAGGAAACAAAAGAAGAAAAAAATCAATAAACGTGACTGAGCCGGGTCGGGAAGACTAGGTAGTTCGTTGCAGCTTGGCGTTCCCGTTACGTGAGGGTCCGGCGATCTCCGTTTTATTATATGGGAAGCGGAGAGGATAAAGTGAATTAGATGTAGTGACTGGCTCTGCTCTTAGGATGATGTTGGCATGTTTTTATGAAGGAAGAGGATGAGTAGAGCGGGGGAAAAAAGGAAAATGAAAAATGAAGAAAAGAATTCGGGCGCAAACCCGACAACTTTCGTTATGCACTCCCCAGCCGAAAATCGGCTTTGGATTATGCGCACCAAGCCGGCCGTCCGGGACGAACTGAGACTGGCATAAGAGACAGCCAAACGGACTGGCAACAGGACACGAAGATATGGCTGGGCCCTTGGAGGGGAAGCGAGGTTTATGCAACTTTCAAACTTACCCTCGCACGATGTGAAATTATGAGCAGACCACCGAGGACATTTCCCTCGTCTATAAGCTACAAGCGTCTCATTTTCCAGTGAGATTTGTTGCCTCGGTGGATTCGTTCGGACAAGTGTCTGGGGGGAGGGAAGAAGCCGAGAAGGGGGGTCAGATGTTTCAACAAGTGCCATGTGGGGCCTCTTTGTGATTGCATCTTATCAGATCAGATGATAATGCTGTGCGCCCCACTGAATTTTCGGGCCTTATATACGGCCCGCGACTAGGTGCTGCTTGGCGGCAGGGTTTGACAACCAATTTTTAGTCATCTTTTCGGCCGTCAATATCCGTAGCTACGTGTAAATACCACCCAAACACACTATACGGATGTAGTGTATCTCAAAAGCTTTTGTCATACAATCGAGTTCTTGTTAACGTTGTCGGTATCCGGAATCGGGCGGATGGCCTTTAATAGGCTTCCCTAATATTCTAAAGTTCTTAGAACGGGTTCCGGATACAGCTTGTCAACGACTACGCGAGCGGATGCCCCATTCGACACCGTATACTTTCACGTACGGGGGTTTAGCGACACTGATCATCATAGTCAAGAACGGTATCCTCGCCGGTATTATAGACTAAATAGCGAGCGGCTACTTCCTTGTCTTTGGGGAGTTTATCTGTGCACGTTCAGTCTTGGAGAAGAAGACAAACAACGGAAGTCCGAAGACGCCGTTACAAGAGTACATGCCTAAGTTCAACAAAACATGAGACTCGGGAGTTCTGGCTGGAATTCTAAGGCACACATTATCAAAGTACCCGAGGCTAGATACACGGGCAGTATAGTTTCCGGAAAGCCTTGAGGCTTCGTGAGTCGTGACGGCGGAAGACGGGTTGAAGTCGACGACAGTTCGCCCTTTCCAACCGCAAGATATTACTTGGTATGTTGTCCATACACACCATGAAATGACAACGTGCTGAGTTTATCGTAACTGCTATGCCGTCGGACGTCCAGGTGGTATGTCATCAGGTTGAACCCACGAGAACCCACGACTTTACATATTACACGACACAATCCGCAGTACGGCAGTCATCTTTCCCGTTCTATTTCTCTTCCACGGGTTGGCCAATTCATCTTCGTCGAGTATCTATGGACATTTATTTTAGATTCCTCGTTTGTCCAGAGGCAAGGGTCACTCGCTTTTAAAGTGCAGGATAAAGGAACACGAGAAGCTTCAGCCAGATTTAGCGTATATTCACAGTCAAAACGCCAGCGACATAGGTGGAGGTTGGGGAATAGGTAGTATAGGGTGTGTGTTCCTCCCCCCTTCTTTCTTTCTCCTTTCTTTCCTTCCCCTTTCTTTCCTTTTCCTTCCTCTCCCTCCCCCCTTCTTTCCTTCTCCTTTCTTTCCTTCCCCTTTCTTACTTTCCCTTCCTTTCCTTCCCCTTCCTCCCCCCCCCTTCTTTCCTTCTCCTTTCTTTCCTTCCCCTTTCTTGCTTTCCCTTCCTTTCCTTCCCCTTCCTCTCCCTCCCCCCTTCTTTCTTTCTCCTTTCCGCCTGCCTAATTCTACCTAAGGTAGGTACTATACGGTTATCCTCTAGTAGCTCTTGCCGTTCCCTACGGGATAGAAGTAGCAGGCTTCCCCTATAGCCCTATGGCTAGGTCGCGGCTTCTTAGATAGTAGCGAGCTAGTAACCTTTACTATAACTGGCTTAGGGCTACCTTTCAGATATATTAGACAGAGTCAGCCACGGAGATACTTTTATAGCTACGAGCCTAGTACACGTTTTTAATAGACTAGGTATATACTATATATAAGTTAAAGTAAAGTACGCCTTCTATTAGTCCTTAGTCTCTCCTCCTCTTAATACGAATATATACTATACGCTATTACTAACGACTGCCTAGAACGGCTTCTTATTAGTACCTATTGTAAATTATGCGCTCTTCCTTCTATGCTTGATAAATACTCGCTCCTCTCTCTCTCTTATTTATAAATGCTCATTGCCGCCACTGTCATTGCCATCGCCATCGTCTTCCATTAATAACAATAACGATAATAACAACGACAACAACACGACAACAACAACGACAACAACAACGACAACAACAACGACAACAACAACGACAACAACAACGACAACAACAACGACCACAACAACAACAACAATGACAACGACAGTGACGATGACGATAACGACGGCGACAGAGACAGAGACAGTGACAGTAACAGTCACAACAAGGCCTACCATGGCTGACATCTACCCGAGTGTCCACCTGGCCTGTATCTGCCCCGAGGTGGTCTGCCCCGAGGTGGTCTGCCGCCCCGAGGTGGTCTGCCCCGAGGTGGTCTGCCGCCCCTAGCTGGTCTGCCCCCAGCTGGTCTGCCCCCAGCTGGTCTGCCCCTAGCTGCCCTCGCCCTCGCCCACGACCGAGCCCTCGCCCTCGCCCACGACCAAGCCCTCGCCCTGCCCCTCGGCCCCTTTCGATATAACGCTATGGATTATCGGGGTGCTCACGATAATCGCGACGGTTTTCGCGGGCTGGCCCGGCCGGAGGAACTGGCCGCAGCTACGCCGCCGGTTCGGGGGCTTCCTAGACCGCATTATGGCCAGTTGCATAGTCGTTTGGGTGGCCTGGGCCGCTAGTCGGGTGGCAGGTGGTCTCCGTCTCTGCTCTCCTCCCGCTCCTCCCGCCCCTCCCGCCG